CTTAAAATCTTTATTTGTTTTAAGTTTGTGTGCGTTCCTTAGTATAATATCCACATCTTTGTAACTGAACTTTGATTGGTCGTGTTTTTTTCAGGTACTTTCTTCCCAATCCTGCATATCTCATCCGTGTCAGGAAAGTTACAGCCGGCCTCACCAAAAACTGACTTGAAAAAGTTGTAATACTTCCTCTCACTCCCCTTCTTCCGTCTCCTTCACTCCGTAGATAATCAAGTTTCTCGATTTTTCTTCTTCCTTATTCACTGATCGTATGGCTACTTTCGCAGTTTTTGCTGTAAGCTGATTGTTCTGGGATCTGTTCTTCTTGACGAAATCTGCCCATCTTTTAATTTCACTTTTTACAGTTTTCTTCACCGAGTCGATCTAATCCTGCTGTCTGATTATCAGCTGCTTTTGCATGTCTATCTGTTCTCAGTTTTGTTTTCATCTGATCTATCTTGCTGGCTGCAGACTTGCATATAGGTTGCTGCCGACTTGCATAATAGGTTCAGATTGCGGTCCATTAAATTCACTATCCTGCTGAGGAAATTTACAAGCGGACCCTTAAGCAGTTTTTGTAGAACACCCTGGTTGATATCAGAGGAGGATGAGACATTCACGGCTTTCATGAGCTTTCCAATCTCCGAGATTGCATATCCTTTTCCACTTTGTGTAGTAAGTCCACAGAGAAATCCATCAAGTTAGCGTGGCGTGTAACACTTGCAGATAACGACTGCTGATAAAAAGCTATGTATCTTAATCTACGACTGTACGAACAAATTCTGGATGAGACGAAATTACAATTGTCCGTTGTTCAGTGAGTACGAACAAACCACGCGGCACAAAACTACTAAACCTTGAAATTGGGATTATTCTCTGCTGTGATGTTCTTTGCTTTCAGTTGGTGGATTAGAAGATGAACTAGTTTCGGGTCAGGGTCGACTGATAAGGAAACCTTGTCAGTATGGTAACAAGGATGGTGTAGTTCAGTAAATCGGCTAGATAGGAATGGGAGAAGAAATTTGTGTTTACTGTTTTTATTCCCTGCTCTACCCTGTAAAGTGATAGGGAAAATAAGTTAAAAGGAAGTTAATCAGTATGTCAGGAGCCGCTGCTTCCAAACTATGTAACCGGACATCAATCTCCTGCTTCAATTCTGCTATATATATACCAGCCTTGAACCTCTCACAGTCACTGAACTCATAAGTCATCCTTACGGCTAATTCTCCACCGAGAATTATCCCTATAGGGCCGATCCATTCACCAGGTCTCTTCATTCGGTCTTCCATTATAATGGGAACCATAAGAGCTTTTCCTTTAACTCTTGCAGCATACTGAAATTCAAGTTTACAGTTGTCTTTTTCGTTCGAGCCACCAACTTTCTGAGCGTATCGCTGAGTCACGAACACAAGAATTATTTTGGTGTTATCCATACCGGATGCCATCTGATGCATGATATCTCCAGTCATACGGTCACTATCAAACCAAGTTTTATAGCCCAGTTCCTTCAACGCCTTGTTTACAACAGCTACCCTATCATGATTTGAACGACCCAGTTCATCTTTTCTCCAGTCGTGAGTGAGAAATACGTCAGTTTTTTAATTAAGGAAGGAATGAGTCTTTCATCATTTTGTTCACCGACCTATGTAAACAACAAGCTGACACTTTGCCTTCTGCCGAGCAATGATCCCATGTAGGATTTCCTTTGCACTGATTGGCCAGCCGTATTACCTTAAACCCACCATATTTACTACACAGTATATACACCCAATTCTTTGATAGGAAGTAGTTCTTTATACTATTACAACTCTATTGAAACGTTATTATCTTGCTCTCATACTTATTTATCCTAACCCAACTTTTACCAAGATCTCCTTGTGTCTTATTTTTCAAGTACCATACATTTTACTTCGGTCACAGTCCAAATATAATATTAATATGCTTCGCTAAGTATATTAAATGAAAATCGAATTTAAATTACATTATTTTTCTACTGTCATTCCCTTTATAATGCTTCAGCTATCAATTAAATTGTTTAGAGAATGTAACCTTTTCTACAACCATTGAATGATTGTCTAATTAATACAAAAATGCAAATATAATTGGAATTTCATTTTCTTCTAGAACTTACTCATGGATGAGTTACGAATTCCTATTTGCGACCAGCCAGAATCTCCGTCTGATGATAACACTCAACAACCTTTTCCTGGCAGTTTGTATAAATTTCATCGTCTCAAGGGAAGTAACCAGAGTAATGTTATGATCAAGAAAATGGATGGCCATGGAGCTGGACAATACCTTCATCTCCAGGAAAACAAACAACTTGATCTTACAAACTGCACGAATAACAAGAACATAACTCTGCTAAATTGGTCTGTGAAGACAAAACGGCAATATGGAAAACTTGGTTTCTCTATAATGTTGTATGACTGCTTTGACAAGGATGACTCTTATTTATCCTTAGTGGTGCACAAGGAGTCCAATCTTGTGATTCTTCAAAACGGATCTTATCAGGAGGATACTGACAATTTCTGGCACATTGTTCCTATTAGAAAAAGAGGGGACCAAAACTGGCAAAACACAAATTTTACCACATTCCAGATCGTAGATATGAAGACTAATAAACCTCTTGTTGCAAGGTGGTGTGCCGAGGTGGGGTCTTACTTTATTGAATGTGGCGAAGTAAGGAGAATAGGCCACACTGTCTGCCACGAGTGGGGACTTTCTGACAGAGAGGCTAATACTTTGTGGGGGTTTGAAAATGGTGTTTCTTTGAATACTTTAACCAACCCTGGTCAGAAAATCTTCTCAAAACTTCATGTACAAAGCATGCACGGGAGGTACTCTCTGGGAATTCTGGGATGTACCGACCTTTTAGAAATGTACCTCAGTCGTGACGACGGAGATGTTTTGCTAGATTATTACGGAAGGAACACCACATGGTTGGTGCAACCTTGGAAAGAGAGAGGTAAATCTGGTGTTCAGTTCAGTATCTGGTTAGATGTTTGTAGGTTTCATCTGGCTGTAGATACAGATGGAGAGTCAGTGATACTGAGTGATACTATGAGCGATACTGAATTTCAGGATAATAAGTGGGGACTTGTTCCTGTTGAGGTGAGAGAGGGAGGACGTGGTGTTTATATCATCAGGAAGTGTATGGGAACTAACGCTGGATCTAAGCTAGCGGTGGAGAACAGTTCTGGTAAAATAGTCTGCACTAACAGTAAGGATTCTAGATATTCCTGTCATTGGATTTTTGATATACACACATAATCACGCCTTGAAGTGAAATCAAATTAGCATTAGGGACAATGTGAAGTCAGATATACGTGTTATAGAATATAGATACATTCGGTATATTGATTACTCGGTTTATTTCTTATCTTTTATATCCTAAATTGGTTTGGTTTTTATTTGTAAATGATTGATCCAGTAATAAGAATTAAAATAAACAGTGTTTATGGTCGAGAAATTGTATTAAAATCAAAGAATACAGATATCATTATAGAATTTGAATAAAATCTGATCAAGTTAAAAATCAAATTACTCAAATAATTGATTAACAATCTTGAGTTTAATCCATAGAAATCCAGTCCATCCATGGGTGAAATATAAGCTCTCCAGGTGTCATCCTATCATCTTGATCAATAGTAAGTATATCATGTAGAAACTCCTTGCTCTCCTGATCTAGTCGAGGGTTGATAAACTTGAGATGTTGATGTTCTGCTACTTCTTGCTTGGTTGAGAAAGGACAGTCACCGTTCAGGAGGACGTACGCCAGACACCCAATACTCCAAGTCATGGCGGGGAGAGCGGAGTAGAGCCCACATTTGAAGTGCTCTGGTGGTAGATATACCTCCGTTCCTTGATATGAGGTATAGGGAGTATCAGGAATCCTGGAAGCTGAACCGAAGTCAATCAGTTTTATCCGGTGAGTAAGAGGATTGTAGAGGATGTTTTCATCCTTGATGTCCCTGTGGTCGATCCCAATTGAAATGTGGTAGGTGCAGGTATCCAGGAGCTGGGTCAGGACTTCACGGGCATTCTCCACAGACAGGGCTCCGTTCTGAGAGATGTGGTCAAATAGGTCAGTAAAGTCTGGTAGGTACTCCATCACAATAATCCAGCAACTCTGCTCGAAGTAGATCTCGTGAAGGCTGATCAGGTTAGGGTGGTCCAGGGTCTCCGACAACAGTATCTCGTCTGGTATCATCGCTGATCTGTCTTCACACCAGGTCTTCCTCTTGCATTTGGAGTCGTTGATAATCTTAGCAGCGTGGAGAGTACCATCAGAGATCCGCTTGACCAGCCACACAGCTCCAAAGCCACCTTCTCCAAGAAGTCTGATTGCTTGGTAAGAGTCGGTGAAGGTTGGATAATGGATAGTCCAGTTTAGTAAAGTTCATCATTAGTGGAGATCAGTAGAAATAAATGAGAGTGAAATGTTCGATATGGGAGTGAGACATGGGGTGGTATTTATAGTTAGCTTGACAGGGCTGAGCATGATGAGAGTCATGCTCACTTGGAATCTGATCACGAACCGTGTGACAAGATCTGATGATTGGATCTTCACATGCGCTGATCGGGCAGCTGATTGATTAGATACCGCAAATATTTACTACAGCGGTTGAGGTGATCAGGTAACACGTGCTCTAAAACCTGTCTTCCCACGTGAGATATTTTCACGTGATGTGATCTACATTCTACAGGATCATGTGATTTGATCTACAGGATAATAATAAACGTAACGTGAAATCATCAAAAAATCTTATCCCTGGGACTTGAAATTAAATCCCAATTTTAGGTCAGAAAACTGAGTTAAGTTACTATCATTGTGAAATTTTGTTAAATAGGGGCAAGTTTAACAAAGAGTTTATCATCCCAAATGTATCAACCATCTATATATATAATACATCTATATATATAATACATCATATATATAAACCATTATATATATATAATACAATATAGTGAAGAAACAGCTCTAAAACCTAATATTTCAGGGTATGTTTAAAGACGACACAGCGTTCAGAGCTTATCTTACTGAGAAGATAACACCTAAAAAACTGATATCAAGTAGTCAAGTGTTCTATAACCCAATCGCACCGTGAGTTCCTTTATTTAACGATATTTTGTAAATTATAGGAACTAATTATACTTTTATTTTGTAGCAAACTTGGAACTGTTTATTTGAAGGTAGTTTTCTTGGACTAATATAAGCAGTTAAGTGGGCCAATGTAGGAATTTATAATAACATTTTATTTCTTATAATTATGATATTTTTATATCATATATTATTAATGATCGTCATATTTCAGGAAAAACTCCAAAAGTAGTCGAAGTACTAAAAACAGTTTTGATTCTTCCACCAGCAGGTGACCCTATATAGTATATATAGTATATACATTGTATAAATTATTTTACAGTCTGCTTATGATTTTAATGAAATGATTACAAACTCTTCAGTACAAAATTTAAAATTAAACAACTTCTGATATGAGTCACTGTCAGGTAAATTCTATTTATACATACTAGAATTCTATTGTTATCTGTGAGATTGTTTGTTTATCTCCCTTCTTTCAGTAAGTCGTGTAGGAGCGTAAACAGATCCCAGAGTAGAGCCAACTTCGATAGAACACGGCTAGTAAGCATCAGTGAGAGACTGGCTGTTCCCTCTCGGAACCTGAACCGGAGACAGGCTGTCAGTCTTAGCAGGAAACCGCTGGAGTCTGCGGAGTCTTCTTCTAATCAATCATTTGTTTCTTATACCAAGTGAACATACCGTTTTGAAACTGTTTTTCTGTTGGAGGAAGTATAAATCTGATTCTTAAAGATCTTTAATCAAGGGATGGATTAGTACATGTTTTTATTTTATATTAATAAACTGTACATAACTTTGAAATACACCGGGTAGCCCCTGTAGAGTTGTAGATATTGAACTGTAAATACCTGTACATTTATCTTGATTACTATGTACATGTATTAAGCTGTTACCATGGTTACCACATTTTAGGGGCAGCTGGCAGCTGGGCAGCAGCTGTCGACTTAAATTTATCATTAGTAGTTACTTTTAACGCTCGTAAGCTGATTATTGGTTGTTTAATATCATTTTGGTGGGTTTATCATTTATTTAAATTAGTGGAAGTACATTGGTGAAGATATAGGTTTATTTTTGATGTGGTGTGTAACCCTACTACGAAGTATTATTCAACTTAACGTTAGAGTGAACTTTATGTTTATAATCCGCATCTTCACAAGGACGAGGTGGCCGAGTGGTTAAGGCGATGGACTGCTAATCCATTGGGCAATGCCCGCGTGGGTTCGAATCCCATCCTCGTCGAATTTTGACAATGGTGGCAATGCTATGAACCAAAAGTAATTTTGTCTTTAATAGAACAAAGTTGTACAGAGTTCAGTTTTTAATTGGATCTTTCCTTACTTTTGAGGTTCTTCTTCGCTTAAAAGTTTCAATTGATGAACTTTTATAAACAAACTTCGAGATGTTTTGAGTTTAAGATTTAAGAATTTGGACTTCTATTGCATTAAATGATTATGAAGTAATAGTTTAATTATACCTGAGTTAATTCCCTGCTGTTCGTGATGTCCAATCCGCCAGCTGTAGTAACTGATCCCTCCAAGGGTTACCACTTGCTATGATATTTGATTGATCAATGTCGTGGTTCGTAATCATGCATCCTAATATTTGATTTGAGTAATACACATGTTGTAATGGTCCAGGAATGTAATGAAATCAGGGAACAGTGAGAGTTTGTTACGTTGCTATGGTTACCAAGGTGAGATTTGATTTATTACTCCCACTTTCTTGGGTCTTCTTTTGTAAATGATGCTAAATTTTCGCCGATGTATATGACGGGAGATATGAAAAATGTTGAGGCTTAGACTGCACGAATAATTTAATTGATTAGTATATCCCAAATTATTGGTTTGAATAACGCTCAACCCCGGATCAAATTACTTACTGCACTCTACCACCAAAATACGGGGGGAAATTATTCTGAAGCTACTTGCAGGAACGCGCATTGCCTAATGGCGTTTATACGATAAAAGTAAATAATGCTGTCATAAAACCGCGTGTTTTGAAAGCCTGGTGCGCGCAGGCCATGCAGTATCCGCATGGTTCGTGGTTGGCGATCGGCAAATTAAAACTAATAGCATGTTGACGCAACAAGACAACAAACAGAGATTGTATTATTTTGAAAAATGTTGTGATTCACTGTTTTCCGTCAAGAGGATGAACGAATATGCGTTGTTTCGAAAAGAGCGCTTTGGAGCTGGAACTTCCTCAGAATTACAGTCGATACTCGATGGTATGATTTAATTTTATCTTTCAATTAAGCTGATCTTAAGATTTATGTTTTGATCTGCTTTCTGTGTTAAATTGTATTACCTTATGAAATACTTCACAAGTCATACACAATCAAACAGCCTCCTACAAAGTTGAATTAGTGCCAACCACTTTTTGTAACTGTTTTAGCAATTAAATAACAAAGGCTCAGACTGTCTTGAATAACAAACGCTCAAACAACAAAGCAATAAACTTAATCATAGATGTAACTGGAAATTTCTCATTATAATTAGCTAATTAAGTGAATAAAATCGCTTGATAATTGGATCTTGTTCAAAATTACATATCAAAGATTTACTATAAACCCGCATATAATTGTAACCAAACTGTAGCCAGAACAGGATAAGGGGGCATACAACAAACCTGTCCAGACCAAATGACCTTCTAGCGCACCGTTTCCACACAAAAAAAATTATTTTGAGAATACCTATTTTTGTAATCGAGCATTTCCTGGTTAAGAGTGCAATTTTCGGAAAAATTAATTAACAAATTAAGGCACATTTTTCGTTTTTAATATTTACTGATTTTTAAAAAATTTTGATAGGAATATGCTATTGACTTTTTGAAGGGTGCAAAATAACCGCAACTAGCACATTTATATATGAGTTATGAACAACAAAACACCCTAAAATGCTTCCCTTTGAAGTTATGGGAGAAAATGTGATTTTTAGGCTTCAAAGTAATTTGTTTGGCTTTGAGGTCCAATAGATCTGAAGATAAATGAGTAAAAACATTTGTGAGGGCATCAAAAACTACGCCAGAATTCAGAGAACAATTTGATGTCAAGCATCAAATCAATCCGATCTTCCCTGACTGACTTTTTGTTAAAATAAGCCTGAAAAGGACAATTTTAGCTTTTTGATTTAAAAAATTCATAACACACCAGCCTTTTTAGATACGATATCAAGATTTTACACACACCTTGAAATAGATGTGAATAAACGGCGAGCAAAATTTCAACCTGATACCGCAAGAAATGATTAACTTATAGCGTCTCAACCAAACCACTGTTTTGGTGTATGCCCCCTTTATGTTGATTTATATATGTTAGTGTATACTAAATTAATCCGTTAATGTTAGTGCAAACTTGTTTATAAATCAATAAACACCATATTATCTTTCTGGTTACTTCTTTCAAAGAAGAATTAACTCATTATTCACATAATGAATTTATTATTATACCGAGAAATTACCACTTGTTTATGATTGATTTTATTGCTTTATTGTTTGAGCGTTTGTTATTCATGACAGTCTGAGCGTTACATTCAAAGCTTCCTTTACAATTGATTGATTACATATTCAATCTCATTTGTAGACGGTCACTTTTGCTTTTGTAACCGGTGAATATTAGTCACTAATAATTAGTGTGTTTATGGACTAAGGAGGAACATAGACTGTATTCCACACCCTATTATGGTCCACCGGCCGTACTTTCTACTTGTTTGTAACTCGAGTAATCCACTCACCTAATCTAATTTATCAGAACAAATCTATAATTTCTACTGATTAAGTTTTTGTGAAGCAGCTATCATCTCACTATTCAACACAGCTAATAGCTTACTTGATCACTATGCTTCTGAGCGACAAGCAGCGCTTTTCTCCTTCACCACTACTCGTTACTCAACTAGAGTCAATACAGACTATTGAGGTTGTTCTGATTGCACGGACTGTGAATAGAGAGATTTATGACTATTGATTGTGTCTATTCGATTGTGTTTCTATTCGATTTCAGGAATCAGGACATCACTGACGTTGTCAAATTAGTAAAACCATGAGAGCGGTTTGTAACAAGTTCATACCTCTGAACCATTAGCCATTGTGTGCTCGATTAGGTATAATGAGCCCAATGAGATGCTTGTACCTGTGCATATCATACCTCATTCGTTATAGTAGCAGTGTATTTAGGATTACAGCAGTTACAGTCGCAGGTAGTCGTTTTGTGTCGCGTGGTTTGTCCGTACTCACATCTCTTGTATTTCTGAACTTGCCAAATATTTTATACGTTTTTTGGCAGATATGAAGTCACTGTAATACAACTTCTCAGAATTATTAGGAATTAAAAATCCTGATGGCTATTGAACAGCTGAATAGTTCGTTACTTACCTCTGTTGACTCATGTCTACAGAACAAGGTCTCACAAGACTCTGGCAACGAGTCAGACGAGTTCAGAATCCAGATTGGACAATGTAAGCAATAAAATACTGAAGAAGAGATTAGATGTACAGAGTTTGTGGAAGTGGTTCGAGTACCACTGTTTGTGAAACATAGCTCCAACTGCCGTGTATTATAAACTGTATAAACATTATAAACAGTTACTGTATAAACTATAAACAGTTACTGTAAAACCACTCACCAGGTCCTGAGAGAGAAGTGCTGATTGAGTACAGTTTTACAAATGTTTCTCAGAACTTGACGACACATCATCCTTTATTTGGGAATCCTGCTTAGAATGATTTACAGAAGTGATGCCTGCCAAGAGATACGGACGATCGGACGAACTTGCTTTCAACATCATCAACTTTACACGGAATTTGTTACAGTCAAATTCTGATTTCCGTCAGTCAGTCCAGAACAAACACTAAATCTTTCTTTTTTATTTTCTTGATAATTGTAGACTTCATCAGTTATCTTGCATGTGCTTGTGATGTGCTTGTGATAATATGATTTCATATTTGGGTATATTAATCTGACCGTTATTGGCTGTATTCGAAGCAGTATTTCAGTTTGGATACAGTCTTATATCTAAAATTTGTATACACATGGATATATTTAATATTTTATGAAAATTAGTATATTATGTAACTGTATTATTCGAATTTGATGTTAAACGGAAACCTATTTTTTATCTTTTTTAATACTCTGCTGACTAAACTATCAAACTGTAGACCATTTATTATCCCGGACTAATTTAGATCTAAGACACTACGGGACAGTAGAGGAAATTTAAATGTTAGAAAGTTGTGCTACGTAATTTGTGGGCTATCGTCCCCTTATATTAGCAATTAGAAATGTAATGTTAGAAATTAAAAGTTCACTTCTTCGATTTGTGAAAATAATGATTAAAATCAATCACATACAAATCAGAAATTCATCAGTAATGCTTAGCTTAAAACTAAGATAGACTTTTGATAAAGTAGAAACCCTTTCTCTAAACAGTTCTCTTAAAGGCATATTCAAAAGACTCATCAACCACAACCTCATTTAAAAAAGTGTTAGAGAAAAGCGTGTATCCTTGAATTGTAAATAGTTCATTTTCCCTAATGAGCGTCCATAGTAGAGTCAGCTGACCCAGGATTGTGTCTGGGTCAGAGTTTAACTGCTATCTGTTCATATTGTGGGATGTTTCCGGCATGACTCTGGTACGGGAGCATCTGGGCCTCGAAATGATAATATTTCAGTTTAATAACATTGTTACACTGTTACACTGTTACGCTGTTACACTGTTCCGCTGTTATACTGTTACACTGTTACAATGTTACACTGTTACACTGTTACACTGCCACACTGTCACACTGTTACACTGTTACAATGTTACACTGTTACGCTGTTACACTGTTACACTGTCACACTGTTACACTGTTACACGGTTAATCTGTTATTATATAATTTCAATTCAATGCAGCTCATCAAACGGTGAAAAGTTAACTCTTTAAAGCACGAGATATTCAAAACTATAAGTATATCTCCCTGTCTATTTCAGGTATCAGAGGTACAAACTCCTGAAGTAGTCCGCACAGAGGGTCTGGTGTTCTAAGTGCCAGTCAGTGAGTTCTCCCCCGTCACCTCTTTCCGCTCTTCTTTAACTACACTGTTTGTGCTTAAAGTCTCTTGGTTCATTTATTGACGAATATTATATTATTATTGCAATAAAATATAACGGATTGAATCTGAAAGTATATTATTTTAAACAGCATTTAAATCTCGAGATTTAAATCATACAAACTACTTTTTTGAACATTTTCTGCTCTCCTCAGATGCAATGTAAACACTAAACATGATGTGTTTCCTATGACAGATGGTGGACTGTACACCTATTGAACGGTTAGTTCCTACAAAGTGAATAAGTAAATAAGATTGGGTTTTGTTTCTGTCTTTGAAATTGAAGTATTTTTGGATAATATCATTGATTATATGACCTTACCTTTAAAATTTAAGTTTTCAGGGCTTTTGGATTTATTTATCAAAGAATATATTACAACTATCACTAATGTTACTTGCAGTATACACAATGTAAAGTCTGTTATTAACTATAAATAACAGTAATTGTGGTAATAGTAAAACAATAGTGAAACAAAAGTAAAACAATAGTGAAACATGACAGTAGTTGGTGAAGAGTTAAAACATGTTTAAATCTTTCCCTAAGATAAACATGATTTATTCTTCACCATTATAATACTGGTCGAGTAAACATTAAACAATTAGTAAGTAATCAGCAAGTAATTAGTAAGTGATTAGTAAGTGATTAGTAAGTAATTAGTAAGTTAACTTACCACATAATTCACACGAGGAAGGTAACCCGCCCCAGCTCCCGACATCAGAACACGATAGGATTCTGTTCCCTTGAAGAGCGTATCCAGCATTACATCTGATGGTAACTTCTGTTCCGGGGGGTTTCCGGGGAGTGACCAGTAGAATGTGTGGAATGGTATTGATGTTTAGTTCCGGACAGTAAGTTACTGAAATTTGATGTTGATATTAATCTTAATCAATTTTCATCGTAAGTAGTGCTGTCGGCGCGCGGTGAGCGAATCAATTTTACACCCTTCATATTTTTGGGTTTTCGTGCCCGAACCCTTATCCCCCCCCCCCCCCCCCCTTCCAAAGCGTTCGTGATGATGACATAAACTGCTTGGTATCCCGTTAATTCCTTCAACAATTTTTAATCTCAGTCTCCATACCACAAGCTGTTTTTTCTAAGTTAGGTTCCTCATCAGCATCGACACAAGTTGTGCACGATGTTGCTCCATCTTCTGCGCTTATCTCGTTATCAGAGCATTCTTCGCACTTTATCATTTCATCATCTTTGTAGCTTCCAGCTGGACACTTTTCTGGAAAATCAGACAATTATTCGAATATTAACTTATTTTTTCTCAGCCAATGGTTAAACTTGGCAAAAACAGCAACATAAAGCTATAAAGATATCTTACCACAATCAGTTTTGTCGGTGTTGGGTTCCTCTCCTACGGCACATTCAGCACAGTTTATCATAGAGTCATCTCGATACATCCCGCCTTCACAAGGGTCTGAAATAATAATGTTTCGGTTTTCTCCTAACAATATGATGACTTGACTATTTAACCACGTGGCAAGAATTTGGCAAGAACTTTCTTAATAAAGCTGAGGCTAAAGTACCAAGGTTACTTTCTCCAGAGACAACCGTAGTTCCTTTATTCTGAATTCTCCAAAATCCAGTTTCTTTGAGACAGTGTCCATCAGTTGGTCCCCATTCCTGACTCAATATCACCTCATCACCTCTCAACACCTTCACCCCTACTTCCGTCCACTCTATGATAAGAGTCTTACTCTCCCCAGTGTAGCACGGTCCCCTGTTACCACTACCAGCAGGATGCTTCCATTCCTTCCCACCCCAATAGCTTTTATCACCAGCATCATTACAATAAACAGTTATATTTCCATCTTTACCGCGCAATACCAAGGCCCCTTGTACACTTCCATTTGGAAGAAGAGGTGCAAGTTTCACATTGTGGCTGGGACACTGGACTGTTATAGCCACTTTATTTGAAGAGATAGGCCAAATCTGTGGAGTTGATTTTGGAAAGGCTGTCGAGGGTTGAACTGTGACACATAATGAAAGTGGCATCAGAAGGGAGAGGAGAAACAAGGATTTTAGTAAATATGTAACCATGAGGGCAGGTTATTCTAGCTGTACCACATTCTGTTTTATTAGGGTTTGATCAACTTTGAGCGAGAATTAATTCCTATATTTCGATTAAATTACTTTATCGTGGGCAATACTGTAAATTATAATACGATCGAGATAAACATAAACGACAAGAATCCTAAAACTGTAGAATAAAGTTAACGGGGACCGAGCGAGCAAGAGAGAGACCAAGCTGATATAGCATGAATTTTTATTTTATAAGGTAAGACTACAGAGCAGGCACGTAGCCGAGATTTTTCTTTGGGGGTGGGCGGGGGGGGGGGGGGGGTGGGGGGCTAGGCGAAGGAAGCCGACGCGAAGCGAGCCGACGCGGCGGGGGGCCCGGAAAAATTTTGAGAAATAGGGTGTTTTAGACGACATTTAGCATTAAAGAAATTTGTAGGACAGCAATAAACTGGGACTGAAAAGAATCAAGTACTTATGAAAATTATCAAGTACTCATGAAATTAAGCACTAAGCAAATGCCAAAATGTCTTACAGTTACCAGTCCCTACCGAACTCAGTACTTGCCACATTGAATGGAATAAGTACATGACGTATAGTGGGATTTGGAAATAATTTACAAAATGCTGAAATCAATTGCCTGCCGTTTAAACAGTACATACTGCAGTCATAAACACAGCCCAGTTACCTGGCGACCATGGGGACTAGGGGGCTTATTTTCTTTCTCGGGTTCAATTTTTCCCGGGGGGGGGGGGGGGGGGGGGGGGCTGCAGCCCCCTTCCGTCCCCCCCCCCCCCTGGCTACGTGCCTGCTACAGAGAGGCAATGTCGGAGCAGTAGAACAAAGTGATTGGGGATTGATCATTAGATAGAGAGACGGACAAAGGTTAGAGGGGAAGGAATCTGCATTTGTATTGTGATGGCATGATTATCCAGACGGCAACCTGGCGGGTAGGCATAAATAACCAACATAATCACGTTGTCTTGGGTAATACTACATATAATACGATCAAGATCAACATAAATCATACTATAAGGTTAACCTTGGAGCAACAACTACACATACGGGAGGTAAAGGGACCTAGTGGTTCACAAGGGCAGCCTCGTAGGGGAATTCTTAACCAACATTAGCTCATAACAACAATAAGTACAGAAAAGGAAAAGAAATCGGCTGCCTGGCATCAGGACTGAAGCGACAATCTAGGTAAACTATAGGTAAAAATATAATATTAATCATAAGCTAAAATGTACTAAACTTTGTATTCTAAATGGGGAAAAGAAGAAACATTGTCAGTCAGTCGAGAAAATTGTCAGTCAGGCTATATGGCAGCTTTGTAGATGTTAGATATCAGAACAAGTATACAATACTATGACAAGAGATAGCAACACCATCAGGAGGTGAAGAAGTTTCTATTGTTACAGGATGACTGTGGCTAATGTTTATTGGCGGTTATTGTAGTGATTGAGAAACATCCTGATATTGTTTGGGGACTCACCAAACATTGGCGGTAATGCTATGAGGTGTAAGTGTATTGGAAACAGAGTAAACATTGTGATTTGAATTGACCGAGCGAGCAAGAGAGAGACCAAGCTGAGATAGCAGGAATGTTTATTTTATAAGACTACAGAGAGGCAATGTCGGAGAAGCAGCACAAAGTGGTTGGGGATTGATCATTAGATATAGAGAGGGACAAAGGTTAGAGGGAAGGATTAATCTGCATTTGTATTTGTTTGTGATGAAGTAATTAGTCACTAATCATACAGGGCAGCCTGGAGATATGAATAACTACATCAGCACATCACAACGAGGACCGTGCGTCCTTCACACATTGAATTGGCGCGGCAGTTTTCTAGTATTCCTGGATGTAACTGGGGTTCTAAACGTGGCAAAAACGGTACAAAGATATCTTACCACAGTCAGTTTTGTCGGTGTTGGGTTCCTCTCCTAGGGCACATTTAGCACAGTTTATCATAGAGTCATCTCGATACATCCCGCCTTCACAAGGGTCTGAAATAATAATGTTTGGGTTTTCTTTTTAAAGGCTCTTAACAATAGGATTATTTAAACACGTGGCAAGAATTTGGCAAGAACTTTCTTAATAAAGCTGAGGCTAAAGTACCAAGGATGCTTTCTCCAGAGACAACCGTAGTTCCATAATTCTGTATCCTCCAAAAAACAGGTTCCTTTGGACAGTGTCCATCAGTTGCTCCCCATTCCTGACTCAATATCACCTCATCACCTCTCAACACCTTCACCCCTACTTCCGTCCACTCTATGATAAGAGTCTCACTCTCCCCAGTGTAGCACGGTCCCCTGTTACCAGCTGGGTGCATCCGTCTCTCTCCACCATAATAGTTTTTATCACCAGCATCTTTACAAAAGACAGATATTTGTCCATCTTTGCCGCGCAATTCCAAGGCCCCTTGTTCACTTTCACCTTGGAAAAGAGGTGCAAGTTTCACAATGTGGCTGGGACACTGGACTGTTATAGCCACTTTGTTTGAAGAGACTGGCCAAATCTGTGGAGTTGATTTTGGAAAGGCTGTCGAGGGTTGAACTGTGACACATAATGAAAGTTGCACCAGAATGTAGACGAGAAACAAGGATTTTAGTAGAAATGTAACCATGAGGATAAGTTATTCTAGCTGTAAGACATTATGTTTTAGGGTTTGATTAACTTTGTACAAAAATAAGTTTCTAGATTTCAATTCAAATACGTTAACGTAGGTAATTTATTATAAGGGAGCGTTTATATATTACATCAGCAGATGAGGGGGGGGGGTTTAAAATGCTGAAGGGGGGGGGGGGGGCTCCCTAATACGATCGAGATCAGATAAACATAAACGACAAAAATCTAGAACTATAAAATAAAATGAACGGGGGATCGACTCCGAGCAACCAAGATGAGGTAGTAGGTATATGTATTATATAAGACTACAGAGAGGCAATGTCGGAGCAGCAGAACATAGTGATTGGGGATTGATCATTAGATAGAGAGAGGGACAAAGGTTAGAGGGGAAGGAATAATCTGCATTTGTATTGTGTTTGTGATGGAGTAATCATGTACAGGGGCAGCCTGGCTGGGGAAATATGAATAAAACATCAGCACATCACAACGATTAGTGTCTATAGATAAAGTGAACGGGGACCGAGAATAAGATAGGTTTCCAGAAAACCCGGCAGGAGAGCTTTGCAGTACATGGTATACGCCATGCAATAAAAGAATAAAGGTGAGGGATCGTGATCTGAATTGTGCAGATATAGATTATTTAACGATTTAATAATATCATGCTCACAAAATACAGCAATTCAGTAGTGTGGCATAACACGGTTAACGCACGGTTAAGGCACGGTTAAAGCACAGTTAAGGCACGGTTAAGGCACGGTTAAGGCACAAACTGCCCAAAAGCAACCATTGTGGTCGCCTTGGGCACGGTTAACGCCCGGTTGGGGAAATATAACCTATAAACATACAAGTGGTTAACTAAGGCACATGATCTGAATGTGACAATCTGTAAATTTGTGTGCGGGTGGTGTCAGCACGCAGCAAGGTTGGGTGATCTGATCTGATACATGACTGCGAAGTAGGTTGTGTAGATCACCTCGCTCAAATAAACAGGTGTGAGCTCTAGGAGATGTTAACTTAATTTGAAGAGCCTTGTTACTTGAAGAGATCATTAATCGAGATAAGGATTTCAAATATACGACGGTCAAACGAAGCAGGGCTGCTGCTTTACAATTAGAAAATTTATTCATAGCGGGAGTCGCACTGTAAAATTTACAGATCGTCACATTCAGATCATGTGCCTTAGTTAACCACTTGTATGTTTATAGGTTATATTTCCCCAACCGGGCGTTAACCGTGCCCTAGGCGACCACAATGGTTGCTTTTGGGCAGTTTGTGCCTTAACCGTGCCTTAACTGTGCGTTAACCGTGCCTTAAGTGACCGTGTCTCAACCTTGCCTTATGTAACCCTTGTTCCCTAGCCGTGCCTTAACCGTGCATTAGTTAACCACTTGTATGTTTATATGTTATATTTCCCCAACTGTGCGTTAACCGTGTGTTAACCGTGCCTTAAGCGACCATAATGGTTGCTTTTGGGCAGTTTGTGCCTTAACCGTGCGTTAACCGTGCGTTAACCGTGCCTTAAGAACCGTGCCTTATGTAACCCTTGTGCCTTAACCGTGCCTTAACCGTGCCTTAACCGTGCCTTAACTGTGCTTTAACCGTGCCTTAACCGTGCGTTAACCGTGTTATGCCACACTACTGAATTGCCCAGGCAACATACTTAAAATAATGATCCCACTAGACTGGTGAATTTTTAAATTCTATAACTGGACCAAATTTTATTACCGAGAATTTATCATCTTCGCAAAAACCATATTCTGTGAATCTGTTTAACGTTAACTAGTTAACTTGACAAAGGAACACACAGTTGTTGAGTTAGCTGCACCTTCACTGTCTCGTCTACGAAAGGATGATGGTTCTGACAAATAATCAGTGCTATTAGGAAATAGCGCAAG